CCCTCACGTTTATAGTCCATTGGTTTTCAAAACAGATGTAAGGAAATTCAAAGGGGACAACTGGATAGCCATATTCTGAAAAGGAAAGAAAAAGAAAAAAAAGAACCAGACTTTTACCTCTCATCATAGACAAAAATTAACTCAAAATGGATCATAGGCCTAAATGTAAAGAGTAAAACTATAAAATTTCTAGAAAAAAATAGGGGAAAATTTTTGTGACCTTGGATTAAGTGACGATTTCATAGATATGACACCAAAAACATGATCCATATAAGAAAAATATTGATACACTGGACTTCATAGCTCTTATTCTTCAAAAGATACCGTTAAGAGAATGAAAAGACGAGCCACAGACTGGGAAAAAAATATTTACAAATCATGTATCTGATAAAGGACTTATATTTAGAATATAAAAAAAAACCTTTTATAAAACCTTACAACTCAATAAAAAGACAAACAACCCAATCCAAAAATTGGCAAAAGATTTGGATAAGCATTTTAGAAGAAAAGATATATGAATACCTAATAAGCACATGGCAAGATGCTCAACATCATTATTCATTATTGAAATGCAAATTAAAAATACAAAGAGAGAGAATTACACATCCACCAAAATGTCCATAGAGTAGTCCCTTGGTTTCATCCTTGGGCGATGTGCTCCAAAGGGACCTCCTGTGGATGCCTGAAACCCTGGACGGCACCGAACCCTAGACACACTGTGTTTTTTTCCTATACATTCACAGCTATGATAAAGTTTAATTTATAAATTAGGCACAGTAAGAGATTAACAATAACTAGTAAAATAGAACAATCATAACAATAAACTGTAGTGTAAGTTACGTGAATGTGATGTCTCTCTCTCTCTCAAAATATCTGATTGTAATCACTCTATTTGATGTGAGATGATAAAATGCCTACAAGATGAGATGAAGCGAGGTGAAGGTCACAGGCATTGTGATGCAGCATTGGGCTACTACTGACCTTCTGAAAAAATGTCAGAAGGAGAATCACTGGCTTCTGGACCCTGGTTGATCATGAGTGACTGAAACTCTACTGTAGAAAGTGGAAACCACTAATAAGGGGGACTACTCTACTCTGAAAGATTGACAATATCAAGTTGTGGGGATGGTATAGAAAAATTGAAACCTTCACACATTGCTGGTGGGAATTAAAATGGTACAGTAACTTTGGAAAACGGATGGACAGTTTCTTAAAAAGTTAAACACAGGGGTGCCTGGGTGGCTCAGTCAGTTAAGCATCTGCCTTCAGCTCAGGTCATGGTCCTAGGGTCCTGGGACTGGGCCCTGCGTCAGGCTCCCTGCTCAGCAGGGAGTCTGCTACTCCCTCTCCCTCTGCCCCTCCCCCATCCATGCTCTCTCTCACTGTCTCACTCTCTCTCTCAAATGAGTAAATAAATAAAATCTTTTTAAAGAAGTTAAACATGTACATATTATACAATCCAGTTTATATCCATATATTCATACCAATACTGTTCATAATAGCCAAAAACTAGAAATAATCCAAATGTTCATCCAAATATCCATAAAATAGAAATAATGTTAAATGCAGAGAAAAATTTTAGGAGAAATTCCTTCATGAACTATCAAATCTCTGATCTATAAACATGATGTGTCATTTCATTTGTTTTCTTTTAGCTGATCTTTAATTTCACTCAGCAATGTTTTGGAGTTTTGGAAAGGGAAAAAATTTCATACAATAGAATACTAATTTGTCATTAAAGAGGAATGAACTACTAATACAAAGAACAATATGGATAGATCTCAAAAACATTATTTTAAATGAAAGAAGCCAGACACAAAAGACTCCATATTAATCTATTTACATTAAATTTCTAGAAAAGGCAAAGAGAGGGGAAAGGAAGTGGGCATAAGGAATGACTGTAGATGAGCATCAGGGAACTTTTTGGGTCATGGCAGTATCATAAATTGAATTGTGATGATGGTTCACAACTGTATAAATTTTCTAGAAATCATTTAACTACAGTTACAATGGTGACTTTTGTGATATGCAAATTATACCTCACTAAAGCTACTACTGTAAGGGAAGAAGAGAAGAATGACTCTGCCTTTCCTACAAGAACTGTGTTTCGGGGTAACCAAATTGCTAATAAAGAGAATTTCTTTTATAGAGAAATTCCAGCTAATAAATACAAAAAGTGACAATATTAGAAAAATCACACTTTGTAATCCCTACTTAAAAGATGGATCTCAAAGGGTGCTAAAGCTACTCAATGAAAGACTGATGAGGAACTCTGTAATAGAGGAATCAGGCTGGTGCTGCCTGGAGCCAAATCATCAATCTTAACATCACTAAACTTAAGACCATCAGACTCATATACCACTTGATATTTTACAAGTACACAGCATCAACTCTGAAGGATTCTTGCCAAAAAAAAATAAAATAAGCCTGAATCCAATCAAACCTCTAGATTTAATTATCAGTTTACATAATATAGTAATAAACAAGCTAAACAACCCTTTAAGGAAGCAGTCAAATCCAGGTTGTAGGATATTCTAAAGGACTTGGTTTTTCTAGCAAATTCACAGCATTAAAGGGGTGCCTGGCTGGCTCAGTCAGTGGAGCATGTGAATCTTGATGTTGGGGTTATAGGTTTGAGCCCCACATTGGGTGTGGTGATTACTTAAAAATAAAATCTTTAAAAAAAAAAGTGAGGGACACTACTACAGAAAAAAAGAAATTCAAGAGCTAAACAGCGATATACAGAGTGTGAACCACACCTTGATTGGATTCTGATTTTATCAAACCAACTGTAAAAAGACGTTTTGGTGACAACTGGGGAAATCTTCATAATGACTACATATTTGATGTTATTAAGAAATTATTAATTTTCTTGCATGATACTAGCATAGTGGTTGTGTGTGTGTGTGTGTGTGTATGTATGTGTCTTTATCAGTTGGAGGACATGCTAAAGCATTTGTGGTAAAATGATGTAAAGAATTTGCTTTTAAAGATTCCCACAATTACTTTAAGTGGCAGAGTGTACATGTAATAAGACTGATAATATGTTGAAAATTGTTGAAGCTGGACAATAGGTATATTGGACTTCATCATCCCATCCTCTCCACTCTTAGTATGTTTTAAATTTTTCATATTAATAAGGTTAGTGGACAATAAAAGACTGTACAGCTAAGAGGGAAAAAAGGTAAAAGAAAAAGGAGGGCCACAGCTCAAAGGAGAGGTCAAAGATAAAGACTGATGTGGAAGTCATCAGAAGATAGAGAATACATGAAGCCAAGTCTTTGGAGAGCAGAATATAAGGAGAAAATAGAAAATAAATACATAAAAAGAGACCAGAGAAGTAAAGCCAGTGGAATAGTAATATTTAAAGACACAGCAGAGAAAGAGGAGTTTGAGAAAGATACCAAAAAGTGGAATTAAGGTGGGAAGAGACCTAAGAGACCTAAGAGTGGGAAGAGACCTAAGAGAAAAATTGAGGGAAGAGACCTAAGAGAAAAATTGAATCCGGAAAATCAAGGCAAGAAAGTTTCCAAATACTAAGAACCATGAAGTATGTTTCTTATAGCCCTAAAATTTCAAATCAAATAGAAAAAAGGGGGCACCTGGCTAGTTCAGAGGGTGGTTTCGGCCCAGGTCCTGATCTCATGGTTTGTGAGATCAAACCCTGCGTGGGGCTCTGCATTCAGCGAGAGTCCGCTTGGATATTCTCTCCCTCTGCTCCTTCCCCTGCTCCCATTCTCCCTCTCTTTCTCTCTCTCAAATAAATAAATCTTTAAAAAAATACAAATAGTAAAAAAAAAAAAAAAAATCATGTTTCAAACAAAAGAATTTCAGAATGATGAAATAATTATCTCATATTTAGATATGGGATAACAATATCTAGATATTAGATAATATTTAGATATTTAGATATTAGAGTTCGTATTTTCTAAGATACACAACACAATTTCCCAGATACTGAAGAAGATCTTCAAGAAATATTAACATTTATGTAATGTTATTTAAAAAAAGGCATTTACCTACTGGCACCAAACTGCTACCTACCTAATCTACCACCGTGAAAGATAGAATAGCAAGTGCTAGAACAACTATTAAAAAGTAAGATAATGACACTGGCCATAAAGAGTTCTCTGGAGAAGAATCATTAGACTGTATGATTCATCAAGATAAGACAGTAAGCTGGCCCTGTTTCTCTCCCTATGCCCAGATTCCAGCATGGTGCCAGGTTCCAGGTTTCTACAATGCTGGAGTCCCGGTGGGGGTGGAGGCGGGAAGAACAGGTGACCCTGATGATGCCCAGTATTGTTGGTGTTTGAACCACAGTTACATATTAGACCAAACTGGTGATCTCAGACCCCTCTCTAATTATAAGGATAAATAACAGAGCTTTTCATTTCATACCCAGAGCTTGAATAACTTATTCCCAAGTATATAAATACCTTTGCACTGCCACTCTCAAAAACAGTTGTATCTTTTTACAGTTGATTCCTCGTACTTTGAGGAATTGACTATTATTCACAGCCTTGAAAATGTCACTTCAAATAATTTACCAACACATTAGATGCAATATAAAATGCAAGTCATATATAATTTTAAGCTACCGTTACTTCAATCTTCTATTATTTACTCTATTAATTTGTAATACCCTGAGGTTAAAGACATAGGCTTGTTTGCAGGGCAAAGCCCCACCCAACGTGAATCTCTATCTTTATATCAAAACCATTTCATATCATCTAAATCAATATAAGGTTCAAATAAGTCTTTTTGATTTCCACAGATCTAACACAGAAAAAGGAAAAACTCCTAGCCTCTCCGCAGCACATGTATATTTTATTATTTCTAGGTATATTCTGAAAAATGTTTCTAAAAAGTGTTTAAAAAGTCTCATCTCAAGATTTTTAAAATTCTTAGTAGACTCTTTTTAACTTTTACGTAACCCAAGATTAAGAAGCATAATTCTAAAATGCCCTAGAATCAGGAATTAAAAGTTAAAAACTTACATTCAAGCTGTGCAACCACATCTCCAGGGTCTACTGCTTCAGGGAACACCTGGAGCGGGAGAACAGAGAGGGAAGCAAGGTGAAGACGAGGAAGGGAAAGGAACATATGCAGGAAACGACAGTCTGTGTTTTCCCTCTCATTCCCCAAATATTCCTTTCCCAACCAAAGAAACTTCTGGCGTTACTGAAGACTGTCACTTCGTCTCTGCTTCCCATGATCACTATGGAGGATTTGACAATTAAACATACCTTATGGCCGGCTGTCGTGCCCTCTCCAACTTCACCTGTGCTTCCTCTTTACCTCCAGTTCCTGCCCTGCTGGTTTCCTTGGTCATACTGGCCTTCTTGGTGCTCCTCCAACTCATCAAGCTTATTCCCAACAAGAAGGCTTTATATTTGCTATTCCTCTGCTTAGAATGCTTTTCCCCTAGACCTTCGAATAACTGATAACTATCTCATAATTCAGGTTCAGCTTAAATGTTACTGCCTTCTCTGACCACCCTTTAAATTTGATAATCCCCCTAATCACTCAGCCCCTCTCTGTCCCCTTGCCCTCCCTTTATTTTTTTCATGACACTTATCACTATCTAAAATTGTATTATTCCTGTTTACTTGATTATTGCCTGTTTCTCCTATTACAGTGAAAGCTCCAAGAGAGGAGGCTGTTTGTCTTGTTTACCCAGTGCCTATAGAACAGTGCATGGAACAGAGCAGGACGTGGGTACTTCCTTGCAAAAGAAAAGGAAAAGAAAGGAAGGAAGGGAGGGAGGGAGGAAGGAAGGAAGGAAGGAAGAAAAGAAGGAAGGAATGGGAGGAGAGGGAAGGAAGGAGGAAAGCAGAGAAGGAAAGAAGGAGATAAAAAAGTGAGGAATATGATTGGGAATAACCAAAAGCAGCAGTTTCAGGGAAAAATAGAAAAGAAACTCATAGAAATAAGTATCATAAGATAGCCATAGTAAAAATACAACCTATTTTTACCCATTAATGTCTCCTCTCTTTTTTTATAAAAATTATTTAATACTCAAGATGCTCTATTTTACATAAAGCCCACTAACATAATTTTAGAAATAAGCTGATCCATCATGAAAAGAGGCAACTGATTCAATGCATAACAGAATGCATATTTATTTTCAAGCTTCTGGGTTTAAATTACATATCTCCTTTTTAATGAAACCAAAGTATAAAGTCAGCAACAATAATTTGTGTTCTGGGCTTTTATTAAAAATTTGGAAGTACTATGATTATTTGTTAATATTTGAACTCACCTTTTCAAACACCATTCTGGCATTGAAGACCAGTGGAAAATTGGCTGGGACACATTGTGTCTTTTTGTATTGGCCAAACACACAGATGCTAAGATAGATGTCCTCCTTGTCTTTCAGCACCACTCCTGGACAAGTTACCTAAATGAAATTAGATAGAGAGATGTAACTGCTTTATGAATTCCCTGACTATCCCACTAAAATAATTTACAAGGCATTACATAAAAACAGTAGTCTGCTAAGCTAATAAAAACACACACAAATAAAAAAAGGAGAGAGAAATTCTAATGTTTACAGAGTTCAATGAAATGCCTTTATAACTTCTATCCCCCTGAGAAATCTATGATTCTCCATTTGGTTATTTGTGCCACATTTGAAGCTCTGTGTACTGGCTCTTGGGACAGACACTAACAGTTTTAAACAGTCAGCCTTAGGCACCCACTTTATGCTGAATGCTGACATAAACTTATTCAGCATCATTTAATCACAAAGGATTAAGACTCAGCAGAAACAAAGCACTATCCTAGAGGACACAAAAAAAATAGCGATAAAAAACACAAATCTGACCTATATCACCCTAAATAGCAGCCTGTACACACCCTCATCAAAAGCAATCATGACAAAGTTTCAAAGCTAGTGAATTATAAGTTTCTAGCCCAGTGAAATTTTTTTTAAATATGAAACTGCACTTAATTAGCCTCAAGATTGACAGAAAATATAGGCACAAAATGTAGGGTTTCTAAAAACTACATCGCAGTCTCCCCAGTCCCTGCCATATTTCATTTAGTCAGTGATCAACCATACACTTAAAGAGATATTAAAGGCTCTCTTAGATTTGAATCCAACCTACCCACATAGTAATATTACTCAATGCCTCCCCAATAATACAGTCAAAGTATACTTTTATTGTCCTCTGAACACACACATTACATTCTTCCATTATCTGGATGACTACTCCTTACCACTCCATTCCATCTCCTCCTGATTTACACTCATCACTTCCCAAGGCTTACATCAATCAGCTGCATCTCCTACACAAAACCTCTTGACTCACCAGCTATCATTATTCAATTCCATCTAACTCAAAGATTTACTATGAATTTACTATATTCAAGTAAATACATTTTAGATTCTCATAACATTTTGTAGTTCTCTTAAGGCCCAATTATTGTCTCCATGCATTTTAATTAAGTGGGTACATCCCACCTCTTTTAATGATAATTCCCTTATATTGTAATTATAATTCTGAGAACAGAAACTTTATTTTCCTCATCAATATATCCAAAAACAGACTTTTGGTATTTAGAAGAAGCTTAGAGATTATCAAGTACAGCTTCAGATTATTTATATATGATAAAACAGAGCCCCAAGAAAGTATAAGTGATTTACTTATTTAAAATGACATAGTAAATGAATCAATACAATACACTCAAAAGTGCTTAGAAAAGTGCCTAACAGAGCATTCAACCAATATTAGCTACAGTTATTGTTAGACTGAAAATCATTATCATTTGTCATCTCAACACAACTACATTGAATAAATAAGACTTCATGTCTCTTTGTACATAGCAGTTAAGATTATTTTCTGTGCCAGATATTTTGACTCCATCTCCCTCTTATTCTGTTTTCCACTTCTGTCCTAATACATTCCCCACTGATTATTAAAATCTATTAAAATCAAGGTCCTCAGCAAATCTCATGCTGTCCATGACCCTCATTTCCTACCCTGCCTCATTAAAATCAAACCTGTTAGAATCCCTCTAACTCCGTGTTATCCAATGCGGTAGCTGCAAGCCACTTATGCTTATAGTTGTGGCTAGTCTAAAACTGAGATGGACAATGAGTGTAAAATACAAGATCCTGAAGATTTTGACAACTTGTTCAAAAAGATTTTGAAGACTTATTACAAAATCAGCATAAAATACCTCATTAATAACTAACACTTTGAATATATTGATTGATTTTTTTAAAGATTTTATTTATTTGACAGAGAGAGACATAGCGAGAGAGGGAACACAAGCAGGGGGAGTGGGAGAGGGAGAAGCAGGCCTCCCGCCGAGCAGGGAGCCTGATGAGGGGCCTGATCCTAGGACCCCGGGACCACGACCTGAGCAGAAGGCAGACGCTTAACGACTCAGCCACCCAGGCGCCCCATGAATATATTGATTTAAATAAAATTATTATTAAAATTAATTTATCTACTTAAACTTTTTTTTAATGTAGCTGGTAAAAAATTTAAAATTACATCCTTGGTTCAAATTTGTCACTCATATTCTATTTCTATTGAGCAGTGCAGCTGCTCTAATTGTCCTACTAGAAACTACTGACTCTCCTTCCAATGTGTAATATATGCAAGAAGGCCTGAGTTTTTCTCATCCACAATTCTACAAATTCTGCCATGCTTTAAAAGAACACCCACCAGCTTTCCAAAAAGAAAGCAGAAAAGGAGGGTGGGTAAAGAAAATCAGATGGAACAAATAGAAAATAAAAAGCAAAGCAGTTGACTTAAAACAACCATATGGATAATTACATGAATGCAAATATTCTAAGCATTCTAATTAAATGGCAGAAATTGTTCAGATTGGATAAAAAAGCAAAACACTTTTTTGCTGTCTGCAAAAAAAATCACTTTCAAGATAAAGACACATAGAAAAAGTATGTTCAGAATAGTAGACCAAATACCTCCAAAAATCAGCCCCTCTATAAAAGCAAAAGAGAACACTACCAACAACTGCCAAAATCAACTTTTTACAGCTCTAGAAATTAACCAGAGATCTGCAACAATCTGAAGAGTATTTATTGGAGAAAAACAGCTGAATTTTGGTTAAAACAGTGATATTATGGTGTGTTAATGTATTCTACTCCCAATCTCCTCTACTCAGGTCTTCTGCAGCCTTGAAAACCAAAATCCTTAGAATTATAGTAGCCATGAAAACCAGCAGTCCCACAGACACTGGAGGAGAACAGGTTTAATGCTACCCAAAAGCCTCATCCCCAGGGTACTGTCATTATTTGATCTGACAGTACCCTGAAAACTTTCATTCACAGGGATTCTCTTTATTTGACCTGAATTGCAGTTCACTCATACAAACAGCCTTTCTCCCCAAGCCAATTGTCAAAAACAATCAGTAGCAATTGTTTAACACCACAGATGCCTGAGGCAGTGATCACAATTGAGGCAAACCATAACCTGATCAAAATACTTAAAAGGCAAAGCTGGAAAATCATGTATATGGGTGTGTGGGGGTTGGGGGATGCTGTCTTTGAGAAGCTATAATATATTCTTGGCAATTTAGAGGATCAAGCACATGTTCAGGGCTGTGCACGTGCCCAGAAATGACTTGATGAAACCCTAATCTCTCACCTCCAGCTGACCTTGAGGTTTGGGATAGTTGGAAGTGAAGGCTAAGACAGAGTTGTAAACTGCCTGCAGGGCATAGAAAACATGCCCCAACAAGCCACAGAGATCTTCATCAAAAACTGGGAGACTTATTGGTTCAAGACATTTAAGGATATATAAATCCAGTCATCAGCAAGCCATGAAGCTAACCAAGCAGAGACTTTGGAGGCCACACATGACAAAGAACACAGACTTTAACTCAGGAAAGTAACTAAACAAACAAAGAACAACAGCAAACAACAAAAAGAGCAAACAATAAACCATGAGAAATAGGGGTTTACAGAGTTTCATATTATATTATTTAAAATGTTCAATTTTCAACAAAAAAAATATTACATACAAAGAAACAAGAGTATGACCCATACACAGGGGAAAATGCAGTCAATAGCACTGTCTTTGAGGAAGCCCAGAAGTTGGCCTTACTAAACAGAGACTTTAAACCACCTATTATAAATATGTACAAAGAACTAAAGGAAACCTTGTCTAAATATCTAAAGTAAAGTATGGCAACATGGCAATAATGTCTCATCAAGGAGGGAATAGCAACAGATGAAGAGAAATTGTTTTTTAAAAGAACCAAACAGAAATTCTAGAGTTGAAAAGTACATGAAAGAAATGAAAAATTCACTAGAGAAGCTAGCAGAAGAAAGAATAAGTGAAACTGAAAATATGTCAATTGAGATTATTCAGTCTAAGGAACAGAAAGAAAAAATAAAGAAAAATCAACAGAATCTCAGAGATCTGTGGGAAACCATTGAGCACAACAACATAGATATAATAGGAGCCCCAGAATAAGAGGAGACATGGCCAGAAAGAATATTCAAAGAAATAATGGACAAAAACTTCCAAAATTTAAAGAAAAGCAATCTACACATCCAAGAAGCTCAAAGAATACCAAACCACATACATCATAATCAAACCTTCAAAAGACAAAGCTGAAGAGAGAATCTTTAATGCAACACAAGAGAAGTGATTCAGCAGGTACCAAAAATCCTCAATAAGATTAACAGCTGGTTTTGCATCAGAAACGTGAAGCTACAAGGAAGTGAGATGACTTATTCAAAGTGCTGAAGGAATTTCAGAATATTTGCATATTGCACTTCAATTATTTCAAATAAGAATTCAATTTTGACAAAAATTTCCCTTCAAAAAGGAAGGAAAATTAAGATATTCTTGGATGAACAAAAACAGACAATTCGTCATTAGCACAACTTCCCTACAAGATATACTAAAGAGAATCCTTCAGTTGAAATGCAAGGACACTAGACAACAATTCACATTCATGTGGGAAAAAAAAAAAAGCACCAGGAAGGAAACTGCATAGACAAATATAATGACAGTATAAATTTTTTTCTCTTATTTCTCCATCCTTATTTCAAATAAAATTACATAAAGCAGCAATTATGAAACTGTGTTGATGAGGCTTATCTGTATAAAGATGTAGTTTGTATGACAATAAAATCATTAAGAAGAGAGGGAATGGAACTAAATAGAAGCAGAAGTTTTGTGTGCTATTCAAATTAAATTGGTATTAATACATACTAGATTGTTATAAACTAAGATGTTAATTGTGAACCCCAGAACAACCATCACTAAAAAAATAACTATAAAATATAGTAATAGAAACAAAGGAATTAAAATGGTACACTAGAAAACAGTTAACACAAAAGGCACTAATACAGAAACAGAAAAACAAAAAGACATGATATGCAGAAAACAAATAGCAAAATGAAAGAGGCAA